ATCCACTCGGTGATCATTGGGCTCAACTTGGGCGTAGCCACGGGCGACGGGTTCACGACGCTGCTCGTGGCCATTTGCTTCCACCAGTTCTTTGAAGGGGTCGCCGTCGGTTCGTCCGCCGTGACCGCCTTCTCGAACGTCCGCACGTCCATCGTCACGGCCGTCGCGTACTCGCTCACGACGCCCCTGGGTATTGCCATTGGGATTGCAGTCAACACCTCGTACAGCGAAACGTCTCTGACGTCGTTGTGGGTGCGTGGCGTCTTGGATGCCGTCGCGGGTGGCATCTTGGTGTACACTGGGATTGTGGAATTGCTCACGTATCAGTACACAATCAGCCACGAGTTTCACGCCAAGTCGGGGGGTCTTCGGTCGCTCCACTACCTCTTCTTGTGGCTCGGTGCTGGGGCCATGGCCATCATTGGCCAGTGGGCTTGAGTTTAGAAAACTAAACATAGAAAAACTACTATATATACATGGTATAATGGAAGCAATCAGTCTCTCAAGTGAGTTGAACTAATGATTCCCTAAATAATCTTGAATGCAAGTCAATATCCTGATAACATTATAAATAAACAAACGGAGTTATCCCTCGGGTTTGAGCTAACGAATCCCAACCATCATCGATTGAGAGTACATATACTACAAGAGAAAATTTACTCACAGTGACTTGGTTAAATTACTCAACAAAGTGTGCTGTGTCCAGTTCAATGCTGTTCGTTCATACCCCCCTCGCTACTACGTACGACTTGCGTATGGTTGGGGGGCTTAACAGTAAGATTGGACTACTGTAGTACAGTAGTGCTGTATTGATAATAGTTATTATTGCCGTGCGCAAGCCGAATGAAATATACTGGACAGTGTCGGCTGGACTGGATTGAGCTTTCTACTGTAGTGTGCATTTCATGCAGTGTTGCGTAACGTTAGCTACTGTTCCCCGTCGATATGACCAAATGCCCAGCCCGACACATTTCAGGAGGTTTCATCCGTGCCAAGGCGCTTTCAAATCCACTTTGGAAGGCTTGCATCATGGCCAAGTTGTGAGCTGCCGCGCTCGTTTCCACCTCTTCAATGGTTTTTGCTTCGACTTTGTGAATTTGTTCTGAAATTTGGAATTGGTCCCTACTGGTAACTGACGAGCCATTCCTTGGCCAACGTTCGGACGATGTGGAGCGCGACGTATTAGTTGGTTGGACACGCAGCCATCACGCTTGTAGATGACTGCGTGTCCAACCAACTACCTGAAAGAAGCTTGGTTACAATGCATTCGTGGGGATTCGATAGTTCCACCGAAGGGGCGGGCAGGGCACTATGCCCCCCCCGCCGCTGCATGTCACGAGCCACTTGGCGGTAAATTTGCACCTTGGTCTGCAGAAGACGGTTTGTATCGATGCTATGAGCTAGCTCGTCTTGCAAGACAGTTGGTGACGACTTGCCAAGGAAGGGGCTTCGTTGACGGCGGCTGTCGCCGATGAGCTACAGCAACGTTAACCCAACGACTGCGAAACGAACTGGTCAATCTGGTAGACAGTCCATTGTACTACGAGAGTATGTACTCTCGACTAAACGTTGAGCTCAACTCCTGCACTCCTCCAGTACTAGTAGTAGTAATACATAGAAAACTCAAAGGATAAGGTTTTTCAGTCTGTCCACCCTGCCACAGATTAAACCTAAGTCCAAGCCCCAACGACGGCCATGGCCCCAGCGCCAAGCCATAAGAAGAGGTAGTGGAGAGATCGAACGTTGCCCAGCTTGGCGCGGAACTCTTGGCTGATCGTGTACTGATACGTGAGCAATTCCACAATCCCAGTGTACACCAAGATGCCACCAGCCACCGAATCCAAGACGCCGCGCACCCACAACGACGTAATCGACGTGTCACTGTACGAACTATTGACTGCAATCCCAATGGCAATACCCAGGGGCGTCGTGAGCGAGTACGCGACGGCTGTGAAGACGGACGTGCGGACGTTCGAGAAGGCGGTCACGGCGGACGCACCGACGGCAACCCCCTCAAAGAACTGATGGAAGCAAATGGCCACGAGCAGCGTCGTGAAGTCCGCGCCCGTCTCGACGCCCAAGTTGAGCCCAATGATCACCGAGTGGATGGCAACGCCGATTTCAAAGATCAGCACGTTGATCTTCTTGCGGCTATGTTCTCCGCCACCGTGGCTGTGGTGATGCTGATGGTACTCACCGGGCACAGACGTTATGCTCACCATGGCGTCGTCGCGCTTGGCATCATCGGCGTTGGTCAGCATGAGCACGAGTTCCGTTTCGAGCACTTGCATGGCAAAGACTGTGCCAACCACAAGGACCATGGCGAGGACTGGGTACCCCACGTCCAAGCACGGGTTCCCCAGCGTTTCCATGGCCGCAGGGATCATGTGGATGAACGACGTCGCTATCACGACCCCAAACCCAAACGAGTTGAGCACGGACAACACGGTGCGACTGTTGCGAAGGCACGACACGTACGAACTGACAACAGGGAGCAGACTGCCAAGCATGGACACAACAAACACGATAAAGATCGCCGCGATGTGTACCCCCCGGTCGTAATCGGGCTGGTGCGTCACCACACCACAAGCACTGAGAACGGCCGCGACAGGCTCGGATTCTTGGTGGCTGTCGTGGTTGTGTTGGGCGTGCACAGCTGTCGCCAGCACTAGAAATGTCAGCAGGGCATTCAACAAGAAACTACAAGTCATGGGACCTGTGGCGCAAAAAGGATAATGGGAATTGTGGGCATGGGTTTACTGGACTGACAGTGAGCACCTTTCCAACCACTTGACGTACGAATGTACTACTTGCATACTACGTATTAATAGTATCCTGTACGTATATTATAGATGATTGTTAGTTACTCCGGAGTACTTATGCGTAAAATGAAATGGCGTA